CTTGCTTCGGCTAAGTTCGAAAAGAAAAGAGCTATCTATGACCAGTTAAAGGGAGTTGGTGGGAAGGAGTGGCCTGACGTGATATGTATACAAGAAACTCACCTCACAGATTCGGACCTTCATAACCATTGTCACAAGGAGATATGGTCCCACACTTCATTCAGAGCGCATGCCCCTCGCCCTGGGAGTGCGGGAGTGGCAATTTGGATCCCCCCGGATTCCAAGGTGGAACCGGTTTATTGGGAAGCCGACAAAGTGGATGGGAGGTGGATGCTTATGTTGGCAATGTTGGAACTTGAAATAGTCAGTATTCTTTGTGTCTATGGTCCAAATGATATAAGGGATAGACAACGTTTTTTCGAAGCCATGGCCCCCATCCTTCCAGTAGGTATCCCGGTAATTATAGCCGGTTGACTTCAACGCAGCTCCAGACCGTTCTCTGGATCGATGGAATATCCCTACCCCTTGTCCAGCTTATGTAGAATCTGATGAGATTCTGATGACTAATTTGACTCAATCATTAAATCTTTTTTATTCCTTTAGAAGAATGAATCCATACCAGCGTACGTACACCTGTTTCAGGAAAAATCAAGCCAGTCAAGCTACCAAGTCCTGCATAGATCTCATCTTACTCTCAGAGGAATTGGTAGGGGCACTAAAGGTAGCTGAGATATTTCCCAAGAGTCCTCACTTGGGCCTCGATCATGCGATGTGTATAGTGATTCTTTCATTTGGAAAGAAGCCAGATCAAGGTAAGGGATATTATAAACTTAATACTGCTCATCTTAAAATGGAATCCTTCAGAACCTTTATCAAGGATGTATGGTCCTTTTGGAGGGAGCAGAGGATTCATTTTTCAGATAACATCATGTGGTTCAATAACGGCTTAGTTTTCCTGAGCCGTAAATGCAATGAATACTCCAAGTTATTGGCAGCCGAACGTCATTCTTCAGAAATTAGATTGTATCAGCGTATTCAAGAATTACAGCAATTAGAATTCGATGAAAATGATGCAACAAGGAATGATGCTATGGAACAAGAAATTCAAGATTTGGAAGCTCAATTACTTTCTCGTATGGAATATCGATGGCATGGTATGCGTATTAGGGGCAAAATTGGGAAACATTTAACGGAAGGATCTATGGACACAAGGTTTTTTGCAATGGCCAGAGCCCGGTCAGGTAGAACAGTTATCGAGGCTTTGGCCCATCCCCATAATCAGAATGGTCCCCTTTTTACCTCTACGGCCGAATGTACTAAAATCGCAAGGGATTTTTTTTAAAAACTTTTTCTCTCTGAAACTAGTGAAACCCCTTTAATTCAGCGTAGTATGGAGATAGATGATTTCCTCACCCCTATGACTAGAACCCTATCAGAAGTTTAAAAGGAACAATTAGAATTGCCACTCACTAAGGAAGAGGTATGGACTGCTCTCATGCTGATGGAGGAAGAAAAGGCTCCCGGGATTGACGGTCTACCAAAGGAATATTGGGAGGCCATGTGGGACTTCATCTCCCAAGATCTCATGGATTTCTACCATGAGGTATGGGAGTCTGGCCAGATGGGGGAGTTCGTGGGTCAAGGTATCCTGACTTTATTATATAAGAAGGGACAGAAAAGCAACATTAGGAATTACCGCCCCATTACTTTGTTGACAGTTGTATATAAGTTGATCTCCAAGGTTCTTACTAATCGCCTGAATAAGTACATTGCGGACATAATTCATCCGTCCCAAACTGGGTTCATCCAGGGCAGAAACATTCAGGATAATATCTTGCTAGTTAACGAACTTATCAGGCTCTCTTGTCAGTCCAAGCATAATGCTGTCTTTGTTTTCATCGATTTTGAAAAAGCCTATGACCACGCGGATTGTTTTTTTTTGGACAAATGCTTAGAAAAATTCAATTTTGGTCCAATATTTAGGAGATGGATTAGAATTTTGTATAGGAATGCTACTACAAGAGTAATGGTTAACGGTAATGTAGCACCTCCCATTGTTCTTTAGAGATCAGTGAGGCAAGGTGACCCCATTGCTCCTCTCCTCTTCGTGATTATAATGGAAGCCTTAGCAGCTAACTTGAGACACCATAAAGACATTAGTCGTATCCGGATCACCTCTATTCCAGAAGACGCCATTCCTGTATGCTCCCTCTTTGTTGATGATCTCTCCCTAATGATTGAGGCTTCACACGCAAACCTGGAAGCAATTAAAGGAATAATGGACACTTTCTGCAAGCTTTCGGACATGAGGGTAAACTGGGGCAATAAAACTCTAGGATGGTGGATTCACTATCAAGGAGGGCGACCCCCTGAGCAACCCCAGATAAAATGGCTGCAACCGGATGTGCCAATCGGAGTCCTTGGGATCTCCCTATCTGCCTCAGGTAAACCTTTATCCACTGATGAAGGGATCCTACATCATGCCCACTCAAAACTGGAAATGTGGAAAAATAAGCATACCTCCTTATTTGGGCGGTCTCTTGTAATCAATAACGTGGTCCTAGCTTCCATTTGGTATAAATCTGCATTATGAGCCTTAGATAAATTCTCTCAAAACTTTTAAACGTCACTTGGCAGCCTTTTTATGGCGTGGGAATCATGAGAAGGAAAAGGTGATCAGCAGAGTAGCATGGTCATCAATAATCCAACCAAAATCAATGGGAAGGCTTGGGATCATTGACCCTCATACCCAAGCTATAGCCCTTTTTATTCAATGGATTAAACGCCTTCTTTTTAACCCTTGCACCCCATGGAACCCTCTTGCCTGTGAACAGATTAGGAGATTAGCTCCCCCTATCCCAGATGCAATAGACCCACTTATGTGGCTAGAGAACCCATCCTGGTCTCTGCCAAGGGGCAGTTCAATGGATCCCCACATGGTCTGGAAATTTCAGAGAGACAAGCAGTTAGGTGTGATATCAGCAGAGATCCTTTTTGGATCACATTGTTGAAAAACTGGAGGAAACTTCCTCTACCAGATAAAATATTTCAACAAGATGGGAGAAAGTTTGTCAACAATCATTATTTAATAATACATTTATTAGGGATTCTCAAGGATGTGTTCTTGATTGTATGGATAGTCCATGGCTAAGCTGGATTAGGAGAGGAATCATACGTATTAAGGATCTTTGGAATCAAGAAACAAAGGATCGGTTTTCTCCCCAGGACCTTCAAGATCAATTGCGCTACAGTCATCATCAGAGGTCTGCATTGGATAATATCATTGAACTGATTCCTTTGGACCGGGTTAGAATTTTAAAGAAAGGGCCCAAGTTTCTTTCTGGTGACTGGGTGGCAATCCAATGTTCCAAAGAAATAGTGGGGAATATAATTGAGATCCATAATTCAGAAGATATTTTAATATCTATTCTGGATTTACAAGAGGATGGTTTTCTTGTTCCTAGGTCTAAAGACGACACCAGGTGGTGTAAGGCTGACCAGCTTTTTCGAGTAAGAGTTTTAAATGCCAACGATAAATGGCTATCCCTTAAACCTGAAATACCAATATCCCACCTACCCTTTGATCCTATAAATTGGACCTGGTCTTGCCCAGGAAGACAAGATCGCTCATACTCTAGATCTTTACATACCCTCTCAGTAAAATCCACATACAGAATGCTTCGACCCAGGGTTAATCTTAAATATCACATTGAAGATCGCTGGATGAAGAATCTGGAAATTAGTAAGGAAGAACTGAGAGGAGTTAAGTGGTTTCATTCCTGCAAATCTAAACCTGCTAAAATAGCCTCTTTGCAATGGCAAATTTCTCACCGTTGCCTTCCTACAAACGACTGGATCATTGACAGAACTTCGTTAGAACAAAAAGGTATTGCTCTTCCTTGGTGTAAATTCTGCAAATCTGCGTTTCCGTCCAAACTTTTTTCGAAAACAATCGAACATATCTTCCTCCAATGCCCAGGTTCGGTCTGGCTGTGACGATGGTGGGACAGGATTTGGAGCCAGCTGGGAACCTCTTGCCCATGGCCGTGGGATTGGAAAGCCCTTCTCCTAGAATCATGGCATCCTAGTCAAGAGGATGAGTTTACTGACAATTTATTTACAATTAGTAGAAGGGCAATTATTTGGGCAATATGGGTTAGAAGGTGTACCCATGAAATGGAGGGTGCAAGATTGGATGGTCCAGATTTCACAGATTCTATTAAACTACATATTCAGAATGATATAATTATTAAATGGGAAAACTTAAAAGAAAAAATCCAGCATCTTTCCCTGCCAGCATTGATTGCTCTGGAATCCAGAGGATTGACTGAGCAGGTGTGAACATGACCCGAACCGTGGAACTGAAAGCTGGTGGTCCCCATCT